GAGAGTCAAAGAGAGTAAGAGTGAGAATTGACATGCACCACGCACATATTTCTGTGGACGGTAGAAGGAATTAATTAAAACTATGGTCCTGAATGAAAAAGCAGTATTTTCTATTCAATGTAAGTATGAACACAATTGTACCTTATACCTCATTGACTAGTTGCACAAAATTATTGTGATTGGCTTGGAATGTAAATAGGACCACAAATCTTGTGATAGTTCTTGTACTGCTACTTTCTGAGTGTGCAGAAGCTTCAGTTTGCAAGGCATTTTAGGAAACATCTTCTGTTTCAGAAAGCAGGACTGACACTTTACCAGGGAATGAGAGTTTGCTGTACTGTGTTCTGATGAAAATCCTTGCAGCAATCCTTAACTGATGGTGCTGAGAAACGGAGTGGAGCAAACTGGTGAAAGTAGCTATTTCTGCTACAGTGCTTTCCACAGGTCATCCAGCTTTCCGAGATCCATTGTCTATTTTGGCTGTAAGACAAATAGTCTGTGTTTTCTGAAATTGAGGTTAGACCTTATGAACATGTCGTAGTCGTGTTTTGAAGATTAGATACTGTAATAATTTATCTTCCTTCAGTAATGATTTTGAAAAGTGTCCAGGTTCCTATGCCTCTATAACTGCTGCTGAAGTCAATGGTATCAATCAGAAAGTGGTTTATTGCAAAGGGTTCATTTCAGAACTGGGTTTTTTTTTCACTCTAGTTTATATGATCATAACTTGCTTTCTTACTCAAGTGAACACTAAAGTTGGTTAATTTCCATTTTCCATAGCAATATTTTCAAACCACGAATGGTCTCATTCTCTTCTCACTTCAGATCAATATTGACATGACTTCTGTTTGGTAGTAGTGTCAATATTACTAGGCCCAGGTACATTATTATAAGTTTTGTTTAAATTCAGGCTAATTTCAGCTTACCATGCAATTTTTCAATATTATCTAACATTGTGCTATAACTCTAACAGCTAATCAACAATTTGTTCAAAACGTACTCCAGAATTTGTATTTAGGACTTGAAGAATTTGAGTTTTAAATCATATGCAGTAACTCTGTTTATGTGTTTTCTTTTGCTTTGCAAAGCCAACAAAATCTTTAGCAAATTGCTGTTTTATGTAGATTCATAGGCAATTGACCTTATTTTGCAAAGCATGTATAACATAAATGAGACATTAAGATTTCGAAGTTTAATATGCTGGAGGGAGAAAAGAAACCAAATTAAATAACACCTTGTAGCAATAAATATTTTATTTTGGTTATGGTGTGACATTCAATGACTGCAAGCTATACAAATCAGGATTTCTATTCTTTGCTTATGCAGCTGCTCCTTTACACGTTTCATTCACAATGTTTTTTCATGAAGTTGCAAGCTGACACTTGCCATGTTTTCTGTTCATTTTTCTCAGAGCTCTAGATTGGAATGACAACCAAATACGAACCGTGTTTGAATCTGTGAGCTATGTTTGATTTCTGTAGGCATAGGTCCAACATCAGTATAACTGTGCTGTCTTTTTCTGAAAAAATGCAAAGCATTTTAAAAAGAGGTTGGTACCATTAGCCCTATTTATTCTAGCTATAAAAACTGAGGCAGGTCTTGTGTAGCTTTGTGGCCTACAGTCAGCTAAGCAATATTGCCTGGGTTTCACTAGGAACTCATGGAAGCAGGACTCATGAGGTTTTTGAAGTGGTTGTAGGATTTGAGGTCTGAGTCATGATGGGCAGTTCTTGCTGTGTTTTACTGAAGTTTAAGGTATTTCTTATAACTAGGATCTTGAACCTGTAGCACTTGAGTTCTGCAGCTGATTCTGTCATTGACTTGGGAACATGGTCAACATTTCTGTGCTTCAGAGTAATATAAATGAATCCGTTAGCTTCACTGCAAGAATTAACTAATGTTTGGAGTTGCTAAAGTGAAAAGAATCTTATTATTTAACAATTGATGTTTAATATTAGTAACTTTAAATGCTCTTTTTATTGAAACAAAGATTAATTTTCCTCCACATATATGGCTTGAGATTTCTTAGACCACAAATTAATAGAGCAGAAGTATTTCTGATCTTTGTCTAACTGAGAATTGAAGACTGATTTTTTTTTTTTTTTAAAAGGTACCTCATAATTTTCTATTTCCTTCTTTCTAGGATTTATCATTTTAACCCAAGGAAACTAGAATGGACAAATAAACAAACAAAATCCCTGATATTTAAGGTAAAATAATTGAAGAAAAAATTATTCTTAAATGTAAGATAATGAAGTTATTTGAAAATTAACTGTGTCTGAAAGAATAATAAAACTTTCTATTGCTGTTTTAGAAATAACTTTTATATTTTTCAAGTTTCATCTCCTTTATTTCAACACACATGATGAAATACATTGAGATTTACATATGGATATTTTATCTGTCAATCTATCTAATTGTGCTTTGAAGGTTTTTATCAGTACACTTTTCCAGTACCTTATAAATCATTACTTTAACATTAAACATATCTTGCCTAGATATCCTGACTCCAAGTATCTGTGTTGAAGTCTGCTGAAAGAAATGGGAATCCTTTGACTGAATGTCATGGATTCAACATCCCAAACACATTTGGGCTTAAATTTTGTATTTACTTGGACACAATGATATGAATCAAATTTCTCTCTTTCTTAAAGAATAGGCTGTCTGTTAACTATATCAGCAACTACACTGAAAACAGAATTAAAAAAAAGCACAGTTTAATAGTGTTAATAGTATGGGCACTTTATACTTATTCTAACCCTTATTGCAATTTTACTTAACTTTTATTTTTTATATTTAGATTTAATCAAGGAATTAGATTGCTGTTATTTACATGCTGAAATATATTGACTAATATTTACACATTTATGTACTGGTATAAAAAACCCCCGATTAATACAGATTGAAAGAGCTGTCCTGCATTATTCCTCTTTATGAACTCTAATTTAGACATCTTAAATACTTACATGCTCTTATCCATGTGCCTGGTTGATTTTAATGATATAAAAGTGGCAGAGTGACTACAAATGAAATTCCTCACTCAACAGGTCATCCAATAATTACTTCTGCAAAAAATTGCAGAATTTTCCTAAAAAGTGCCTCAAATGATTCCATCAGGGGTAAATACATTTTTGGGAGGCAGAAATTTAGGTCTTTATTTTCAAAATTAAGTCAGAAAAGCTATTCAATCAATACTGCATTGTGATGAATATACTTTTGATTGTAAATGCAGTGTTTCTTTTGCACTTGCCAAAGAAATGAGGTTTTCCAAATGATAAGCAAGGAAAAACAGCCTGTTTCAGAGATATGGGAGGGGCAAAACTATGTTTCCTCCTTTATTTTTATTTTCTTCTGGCACAAGCCAGTGAAGGCATTTAGGGAAGAGATCAGTCTCCTCAAGAAATGACCAGAGATCGTTGGGAGGAAGGGAGAAGAGATTGAGGGAAAGCACAAAGTGCTGCCATCGGCGAGGGCCAAGACAGCTGAATCAGGGTGATACAGACTTTTCATTATCAGAAACAATTGCTCTGTCAGGAGCAACATGGGACTTCATGCAATGTTTTTGAACTCTGATTCCTGATAGGAGTGCGTTACATAACTTTTGCTTTGTGAGTGCTGGCAACTGGCAACCTACAGAAAGACACAGCCAAAAGCACTGTGCTCAGCTGCTTGCTTTTTTTTTTTTTTTCCAAAATCACCTATATCTGGGCCAAGCATTAAACAGACCAGCCTATCTTTACCCTTTCCCCTGCCCCCTCCATCAACAGAAGCCTGGTTTTCATCACAGATTAATAAATGAAATCTTTTATCATTTTACTGTGCTTCCCACAGCATTTTGGTGGGAGTTAACAATGCTCCAAGTCAATATTGCCATAGTGCTTGAAATGTCTTTGCATGTTTGTTCACTTGAAAGAGTTGTGGCGGTGGGATTAGAGAAAAACTTTTAAACTGTCAGTGTGTACAGCCTCAGAAACTTCGAGATGGTTTTGTTTGCATTTGGTTGGACAAAAATCTGTTATGGAACTGTTGCTATTGCTTTTGTGTTTCAGTTTTATAATAACAATATTTTTTTTTAAAAAAGAGCCCATGTTATATCTTCCGCTGTCTCCTGAAGTGATTATTTATATCATTTGCTGTTAAGGAAATATGTCTAAGTGCTGAGGAATTTTAATTAAGCAGACTCAGCTGGAACAAATAGCTGTAGGATTTCACAATACTGTTCTGAAATTATTGGCAGGCCCAGAAGCCAGGGAAATTCTTGAATTTTGGGGTTTTACCATGGTGGACATAGCCATTAAATTTTTCTTACTTGTTTTCAAATTAATGGCTTTGTAGACCATGTTGTTTCACAATTGCTGTCAGTGGTTGTTCCTCTTTCTTACTTTCTCTTCCATCTACCCTAAAAAAGATACAATTTTAGCAAAACAAGCAGAACCTCTTCCACATTTCTAAGAGAAGTGCTTATTGGACTAAACACCACAGGATTTCTTTGTGTTCAGATGAGTTATTTATGGGAAAAAATTGGGTTTTTTTTCCTTGGAGGTGGAGGCAATTCTGCCGAGCCCTTGAGGGCAACCACACTTGTAGGTATTTACTGAATTTGTGAAAATCTAACAGTAAAGGCGTATATTAAATTCTGCTGCAACATATCCTTTTCTGTGTAGTATGCTCATCAAAAAACAAGTTAAAACTTTTCTGTGTTGTGTAACTCTAATTCTCTGTTTATATGGTAAACACTTCTCTGTTTTGTTTTCCAAGGGCCGTCATTCCCTGCCTGCCTAATCTACTGTTGCTAACAAAAACGACAGTAACAAACCAGGGAGGAACAGCCTTCTCTGGCCCTTTGTTTTCACTCTGCTGGGTGAACACCTGTTTTTTTTTTTTCCCTTTGCCTTTTCTCTTTTCTCCTTTTCTCTTCAGGGAAAGGAAACCATTTGTATGTTGCATTAAGGAAAAGTGATTGAAAAGTGGAAGCCCATACTTTTCCCTTCAGCAAGCGGAGATCTGTTTTCAGCCTGATGTTTGGTGAAAGGAAGCTTCAGAGCTGCAGGCCAGCTGCCAGGAATGTCTGATTTCCTTTCCACCCACTCCTATGATCCTCCCTTTTGGCAGTGATTACCGATGACCACAGCTGTCATGCTAGGTCATGGTAAGCTGTCAAGCAAGGTAGTACATGAGATATACAAGGCCCAGTCCTTGATCTGTGCTGAAGAACAAGATCTTAAATTGAATCTGGTATCAGCCAGTGCGTGAGCATACCACAGCAAGAAGCGTCGGGCTGATGTCAGCTTGTCATTCCGGTTTCTTGAGAAGGTGGGCAAGCAGTAGGTGCTTTTCTAAGCTTTACATAGCTCATAATATCCTGAAGCATGAGGAGGGGTTACAATTTAGTCAGAACAGCTGATTGTCAAGAATGAGCAAGTCTTCCAGCCAACTGAAATGAGAAATAGCACTTTGCATTGCTCTCACCCAACAAGTATGTAACGATACAGGACGACTCCATAACCAGTGATCAGAACAAGAGCATTCAGGTGGTTGTGCTGCATGCAGCACTCTATGGGTGACTGACTGTTGACATTATAGATGTGACTGAAAATCAACACAGGACTGCAGACTTCAGAAAATGATGGATACTGTTGTCAGGGACATAACTTCTAAAAATAGGACTTGCAGTCTACGTAAGGCAGTATTTCGTTAAGCTTCATATGTTCAGTGCCAAGTGCATAAGTGTCTTCTGAAGAGTTAGTATTTTACTACATTTTATACTGTTATGCTGGCTTTAGAAAGTGCTTTTTGCTGTAGCATCTGTTCTGCTTCTAACAGCATATTAAATGACATGACTAAAATCCGTTAGGTGTTTGCTCTGTATGCCTTCCTCCACAGGGGGAGGCATTTGTGATGAAGTGTTTGTTTTTAAAACATATAAGAACAGGTTGCTTTCTGTTTCCCAGAGGAAAAAAGATCAACACTAGAGGGACAGAAGGTCATAAACACTGTGATTGTCCATTGTTTTTGTGGAAGTTTTTTGCCACTTTAGGCTGGCACAGCCAGGGAATTTGCCTTCAAAAAAGCCTCAGGGCATGTGGATGTAGGTGATGCTGATTTCTTTTGGTTCTCATTTTAGATGACTCCTGTTCCAGTTGGGAGGTTGATCACCTTAGCAAGTTCCATCTGAACTTCATTTGGTATGATTTACTTCAGAATAGTAAACATAATTTCAGTTCTTTTGCTCTCTGTTCTCACAAAACACCTATGGCTATGTAACAAATCTTACATAAAATTAAATTTGACTTTATTAAGCTCTTTCACAAGGTTGGTAGAAAATTCCAGGAACCCTCTGGACAAGAGCCAGTTTCTTTACAGATTTCTCCTGGTCAAACAAGGCAACTAATGACTAATTTTCAAAAGGCTGGGGAATCCACAGCTACAGCTAAGAGGGGTAAAAAAATGTAATAAATAAACAAGTCTATATACAAACCCTTCCTCAGGAAACCAGCATGGGAAGCACAGACATTTAGAATGACAATCCAGCGTGTTTTGCCAAAGAGAGACTTTCCAAAACAGCTGTAGAAATGGTTACAGTTTCCTTGAACGTCCATTTTAATGGCATTATAGCCTCAACTGTTTATATTTTAATCTAATAGTTTTCATGCTGTTAGCCATATTTATTGCAATTGTATAAAGTTTTAAACCTATATAAGTAACCCGTGAGAGGGAGTGACAGACTTCAACAAACACTGCTGCCCATGAACCTGGTTACCTTCCAACCTCTGTTCATTCAGGTACAGTCGGTCTTGAGGCTGTGACAGAAGCTGTTGTTCGGTCTCCCTGTGGGATACTACATTTGCTTCATTTGTTCAGAAAGCTTTTCATAACTGTCCCATGTCTGGAGCACTCAGGTGGGAATATACTTCCTCTCTTTGAATAATGGCTGAACTCCCAGTGGAAGAGGAGGTATTTAAATAACTGTGTTGCCATGTAGAGTATCTCATGATTTCAATCCTCAGAGTCCCTGAGCTATCTGAACACATATTTATAATCAGCTTGGTGAATACTCTCTCTGGCTATTTATCAGCTGTGACCCTGTGTTTCCATTTTACAAGTGCAACTTAAGAATATGGTATGTCCTGTCATTAGCAGATTTTTTTTTTTTGTCTCCAAGAACAAAAACTTCCCAACAAAGGACAAACCTTCTTTGTGTAATATATATACATTCTTCTCTGCTTTGCTGACTTGGACTATGGAATATAGTTGCTGAGACATGAAAGGATTTCTGTGTCTGGCCCTCACTGCCATGTTATCAAGTTTAGCTCTAAATATGGAAGGACCTGTGTCCATAGTGTTGAACTCTCCTAGAGTCCAAAAACCCAAAATGACTCCTGTGAGAAGTCTCTGGCCTATACTAACTTCTGAGCTGTGGGTAGGAATTAGATATAATCTGGCACTCTCCCAAATCCTAGCTGACCCAGACTACAACTGTGTCAGGGCTGCCCCACCACTTCGACAGGAAAGATATTTGATGTTGCTTAATCTACCAGGATATGTACAATTCTTAACCTTAAATAGACCCATCTGTACTGGATAAAGGGAGGACTCAAGCCCCTTAAGTGAGACTCAGATGCCTAAATTTCAGTTCAGACTGAGAATTTGCGAGGCTATTTGCAGACATCATGGTTTCTAAAAGCTCAGAGACACAATTTTGTGAATAATTTTTTAAGTATCACTGCTTTTACTCAGAAGTAATACCATTTTGGCAAGACTGAGTGTCCTGAAATGGTGAAAGCACCATCAGAAGTCAAAAAATGGGCTTTTTTGATTTGACATCTTCTGAAGAGTTGGGTTTAGTAGGTCTGTTTGTGGTGACATCCGTGGTTTGAGCACAAAAACAAGCAGCTGTGGCTGCTTCCATTTAGGAGTGTGGATAGTGATGGTGGTGCAATACTGAGCTATTTGTCAGAGCTTCCACCCAAGCATTCAAAGCTGTATCCTTCACCTCAAATAAGAACAACCAAAGCTTACTTGGAAGTGTTCTAGGGTTTTCTGCTGAGTGAGGGATATGTGGATTCAGGCCCCTAAGGGTGCTATGGGTGTAAGGTTCTGATTGCCTCTTTCCTGCAAAAGTCTTCTCCCCTCTGTGCTATAGTTTAAGGTGAATGATGATATTAACACAGGCTGCTTTGAACAAAAAGTGAACTTGATCTAGTCATCCTCACCCAAAGGGATGAGTGAGGCCTGTGAATATGGAAGGGGTTAATGAGTAAATCCTATGATGAACAGTGAGTTTAAAGAAGAGCTGTGGTGTAGAGAAATGAGGAATTCCTTACAGACTTGTCCTTTTAGCCTTTCCTTCGGCAGCTTGACCAACTGAAGCAGCCTCTGGTTGCTGGGAATCCCATCTCCATACACCTATGTGCCTTGTGATCACACAGGAGTTGCAACCTGGGCTGAGACTGTGCAACCTGCTCTGGGAGCTGGGCCCCTGCACCAGAGGTGGGAATAACATCACATGAGAGACCCACTGAAGATACATGCAGCATTGACCCAGGGAAACTGAAGGCAGGTGTCTGATGTCCTTGGTAATGCCTTGACCATGAGGCTGTATGCTCCAGGGTACATCATGTTACTGTAAATAAAAAGTGATGCTTTGGAGTGATGATGTTTTTGTCTGTCTCAGCTGAACTTGTGCTAGCAAACAAGGAAATTCTTGAAAAAATGCTACAGAGGCCTTCATGTTCTCTGTATATTGACTCTGCATGAGAATTATCTGCCCCCTGCAGCACAACTGCATTTTACTTGTCTTGTCAGCCAGTCTTCCCCTTATAATTGAACAATATTTGTCTCTCATATTTTTTACTGAGTAACCATCAAGCTTCAAGATAGGCTTTGGACTAAGACAGCTGTGTTGGTCAAAGCTTATATACCGTTGACAGCAGTAACTCAATAGGATATCAGAGAATACTGAATATCCACTTTTTGAAGGCTGTAAATTGAATTCTGTTGGATAATCAGAAATGAGAATCAATATGTGTTTTTGAAAGTTTAGATTTACAGTTTTAAATGAAATCTTTGCTCTTCCGGCATGATATTGTTTGTGGAGGGAGTGTGAGTTAAAAATTGTGTTTAAGAACAACAGAAATTTTTGTGAAATATGGATTGACTCATAATTTTTAAGGATATGCTAAAACATTAAACGAAAAAACCCACATCTATTAAAAGTGCATAAAATTCTACTTGCTTGCTATCCAAATAGGAATTCAAATGAAGTTAAATGGATGTGAATTTCTGTTCAGACATACTTCAGATGGTTCATATCCTCTCCTACTTGGGATAGGATGTGAACCAGATTTAAGAGAAAACCGCTAAACTCTTTGTGAAGAAAAGCGTTTCATTAGGGTGAAGGACTGGATTAGAAATGACTGTATTTCTCATGAAGGGATCATCAGTCATGAAGTTTTATTCTTTGAGTGCCCTCAAGAGACCAGGCAGATCTGATCTGTGAGGAGTACTGCTGACTCAGGCTGCTGTAGGAAGGCGTTGAAGGACAACCAGGGAAATCTCTGACCTTCACTTTGCCGCTGACCGTCACTTGGGTTTTCCTGCCTGGAAGAGAGGCAGTGGGTTGGGGTAACTGGGGAGGAAACAGAGACCAGAACATTGACCTCAATCTAAACACAATACAGAAAAAGACAATAAACTCCAGGAGGAAAAACACAGGAGTGATTTACCTAGGAGGAAGTGAGAATATTAAATTCTTTCAAGTAACTTCAGGAGGTGTAATAGAGGAAATCTATTGAAAACACACAGAGAAGATATCTGTCTTTAGCCAGCAAGTCCTATGACACACAGCAGTGTTAGGTATCTACTATATAACTAATATTTTACAGCTGATTAAATCTGTGAATGCTATGGGATTATTACAGTTGTGCAGTCACATTACTTTTCTGCCTCTGGAAAAGTAGAGAGTTTATAAACAGTAATAAATTCATCCTAATTTATCTGTTCATCCGAATATCCATTCAATGTGGCAAAATTGTAAGCCCTCTTCTCTAGTCTTGACAAAGACTTTTGATGCGGATCAAAAGACCCTCTCCTCTCCTTCTCCATCCATCTTTCCCTCTCCCTCTCCTCCGTCCTCCTCCGTCTCCTCCCTTTCTCCTCTCCCTCTCCTCTCTCTTCCATATACCCAAAAATGTTGTGTTTAATGCAGAGCAGAACTGTAACTATACGAATTGTCAAAAGCATAATAAGATTTTGGTTTTTTTGCTTTTCTGCAGGGTTTGCACGAGAGTATCACGTTGGTTTTAGATTTTGACAAGACTTCTGCTTTTGATGCTTATCCTTACCAGAGAGTGAGAAGACCTTTTTACCGTCACAGCTCTTTTCAAAAGACATGGGAAAGCATCTGGAAAGCCAGATTTTAACAGTGGGCAAGTTATAAATAGTAACATACAGAATCACACTCCGAACGGAAATTATTTGATTTTTTTCATTACAGCATTATATTACGTTGACTCTGGTTTCCGTGTACTAGAAGCATGTATTATATCCTTATCATATCCTTAGGTTCCTAGACACAGAGATCAATTAACATATGTCAAGGGTAATTTTTACAGTCTAACTGCACCTGGCTAACTAATAGCACCTACAGATATGGACAGAACAAAGTACCAGAATTTATGTATCTTAAAGGAATTATTTCCTGTCAGATGATGAAGATGAAATAATGGAAAGTATTCGCTTTTTGTCCAGTCTGTTGGGTTTGATATTTTTATAACTCTTAACCCAGACGAAATCTTCAACCATTTTGAATGTGAAAAAAAAAATAGAATTTCTGTCTTTTATAAGGTACACATTCATTAAAAAGGAAACTAAGAAACCATCTTTAGAGTAATTCCTTCTATAAGAAAGAGTCAACACTCCCAACTTGTTCCCTCCACCACACCAAGCTACAGCTTAAAGACACAATTCTATAATTAAAGTGAAAATAAATTTTACTTTGTCTTAATTGATGCCATATTGACAGGTAATCGCAATTGGTTTTGTTTGTGTGCCTAGTACATTGTGCTCATGTTCAGTGCTGTAAAAGGAAAAACAGTAAAATTGTATTCTGCAGTGTTGAAAGTAGTTCATTTCAAGGAAAATAATGAATTTTGTCAAATTGACAGTTATGACTAAATGTGCCCAAGCACAAGACACCTTGAGTAAAGCAGTATGGTTGTAAACTACTCAATTTTCTTCCCAAAGCAATTTGAGAAAAAGTGTCTTCAGAATCTACCATGTAGCATGTGGGTAAAGGAAGAACATACTGACAACTTCCTATGACTGTGTCTCATCATTCCATACTTTGGCACATCTTTTCTTTGTTCCCTGTACTAATATTGTGACTGAATATGTGGAAATATATCTTACCATATCGGTATTTACTTGGTGTTAACCGTGTTGAACAATGGCTTTATAAAATAGGGAACTGAGAAGGCTTTGAAAAGAATCATTGATAAGTTTAATGCTCTGTTTGCAGGTCAAGAATGAAAGTAGAATTTAACATTTTGTTTATTGCTTTTTTATTGCGTATCGTTAAGGATACTTGATGTGTTTGGCCAGCCTGGTTATCATTCCCACAATTAAAAGAGTTCCGAAGTGCAGGAATACTTCTAGGAAAACAAGAGAATTAGATCAGTAGAGAAGATTTGATTTATGAACTATTGTCCCTCTTATATTGGAAGTCTTAATTTAGGAAGATCCAGATACATAGGGATTTTGTAACAAGTGCTTTAAATTCAGGTGCACTGTGGATTTAATTTCACAAAGCAGTTTGTTGCTCTTCTAATGTCTTTATAGTTGAGGAAGTCTGTTTGTAGAGTCTAGTAAGTGATTCAACTGAACTTAATGTGCGTGTCACATGTGATGGTATGACCAATTTAAAAGTCTTTGGAAAGTTCTGTATTTCTTCATTAGAGAATATAAAGTTATTTGTCACCTCTGAGTTACCTTGACTCTGAGTCTTCATTCAAGTGAGTGCCAACGAGTAGCAATATTTCTGAAACTGCATGGTGGCATAATAAACAGGGCTGAGAAATTTCTAAAGCTGTTTGTGTTCTATTTCACAGGTCTGTATATGGGAGTCTGCATCAGCTAATGGCAGACTTAGCTGCAGCAGTGTGGCAGACCTGTGATTATATACTGAGGCTGGAGAATCATCGTGGATACAACCCTGGACCTGTACCTAATCCTAAACTGAGAATTATGGCACCTCAGCGACATGTACTTGAGCAGGAGGAGGGTGTGCTGTGAATCTTTGATAAAGTCATGCTCCAGCAGGCCATGTGCCCTACAGTAGGATCTGGGTGGATATGGAGGGAATGTTTGGTTGTGAGTTTGTCTTAAAAACCACACAAACCAATATACCAAAGGAAATTTTGTACGCAGTTGGCATCTACTTCCAGTAAGCAATGAGAAAGTAGGGGCACACGCCAAGTCTCCTGGCAATCTTTTGTGTTTGCCTTTCATGCTGTGCATGTAGAAGTGCATAACTTTAATATGTTGTTTTTATATTCTCAACCTACTCTGTATTTCAAATGATGAAAAAAGACCTGTGTTACAGGTAAATTCTGGAGAAGATAAAGCAAAGCAACCAAACACTAGAGGTAAATCAGGGTAGAGGATTTCATATTATGGGGCCAAGAAGCTAATGCAGACATATAGCTAGAGAAGTGGGATGGCTACTGTGTGCATGACCAGCACTTCCAATATGATTTTGTCCTTCTTAAAACCGCTGGCACTGCTGAACAAACTATGTAGAGTAAATTCGGCTCTATTTTTGATTGTTGTAACTGTTTCCTTCTGATAATCTAAAATTAAATACTCTGTGGATTCAGCAACAAAAGCTCAAATCCTAGCTGTGCATGTTAAAGAAACCTCCTTGTAAACCAAAAGTCCTACTTCCATAGAGCATCATTGGCACTTGCTGTGAGATGTTTGGTTTGCTAACAGACTGCAGCAGGACAAGGAGTACATGGGGACTTATTGGAATACATCTGAGGAGTTATGGCTTATAAAGACTTGCAATAAATAATGAATGCCCAGGGTAATATTCTTTCTAATGAACATTTTAATGATTACTTTTCCCCAGTAGGGGACTTTCAGACTTCTTAACAGAGGCACAGAATGAACTCTTTGTGCTGCGGCTGTCTCTCTCCATCACTTTTTGTTTTCTTCTCGCCTGTCCCTTATTGCTAGCTGCCACTGATTCACTCTGCCTCCAGCTGTGAGGGTAAAGTTTACAGTGTCTTCAAAACCTGCTCTTTGTTTTCTTCAGTTAGGGTAAAGCTTGATGGGGGACAAAGCAAAGTGCCTCCCCTGCCCACTGGAATGCTCTGGGCAGCATTTCTGTGACTCAGCCCTGCTCCCTACACCACGTATGAAGCGGAAACAGAAGAACCAAGAACTGCGTTTGCAGTAAGACACTGTCCCAGACTGTCCTGGTAACGTGATGAAGATTAGCTGGATAACTTTTTAAAATGTCATCCAAGGCAAATTTCAGACATTTTTACATGGAAGCAATGTATCCTCAGAGCATCCGCACTTTCTACATAGCTCATCTTTTTCTTTAGATTCTTTGGTAGATGTAGGCTTCTTTCTTTTTTTTCCACATTTTTTCCTAAAATTTTCATAGGCACTCTGCATGATGAAAAATAACTTAATGTTCTGCCCTACGGATCCGCCAAACTTCATAATAACAGCAAATATGAATATTAGTTCTCTATCAAAGTGCTTTGTGTTGAAATTAAGTCCTGCTGGGAGACTATGGCTAGCCACCTTTAAATGGTTAAGAACTGTATTTTTAACTGGAGTTAGAATATTTCCTAAAGGAACCTACAGTCTGGGATGGAGTCCAGATGTACATTTGAGATGGCTAAAACGGAAAGTCCTGATTTTTTATTAGGCATGCCATTCAGAGTGCAAAATGAAGTGTGAGCAAAGAAAGCATGTTGCCATGGCAACAGCAAATATAATTTAATGCAACAGGTTTTGGTTCTGACCTGAAAAAGGAACTATTTGTCCTGAAAGTCAGCTTGTAGCCCATAAAAGTTTTAGAAGACAGTAACTCATCTTCACTAAAGGCCAGCAGCTGGAGAGATGGATACCTCAGAGGTTTTTAGTGAACAAAAGAATCTAAATATTCTAATCATTGTTGTTCTGGCATAGATTTGCAAGAAGGAATTGCTTCAATAATGTGTCTACTGCTCACATGATAACCACCTGCAGGCAACCTCCTAGGCACAGTGTCTTTCTATTATTTTTAATAGAGTATATGATGTTTGTAGAATTGTAAGTCATAGTGAGACTAAATACTTTGTAGAAAAATACACATAGTGTCAACTACCAGTATTAAAATTTTGGGTTTAGAAATTCCTGTCTCCCAAATTTATGATGAATCCACAATTATGTCCCCACTACTTGTTACAACTATTCAGTGGAAAAGACCGAGAGAAGCAGCAAGTTTGGGAAAGCAAGCTGTTTTCTAGATTAGTTTATTAAGGCTGGAAATAACGCTTAAACTGCACATCTGATGCCAGGTATTTGATTTTCAAGGATGTGCTCATTTCCCTTACAAGACTAACTGCTCTGGATTCCTGAGAGTGCAGTGGGCTGCACAAGACACATTCAAAACGTTTGACTGTCTAATTCCATCTGCTACCACCTCATCTGTCTCCATGGGATGAAGCAAATTTACAGGAGCAAAAAGAGGAATGATCTGCTTTCCATTGTTTTGACTCACAGGAAGAAATAAGCTACTCAAATCTTAAGAGGAACTTTGATCTTCCAGGATTTGCAGTTCACCCTCTGGACTAAAGATGCTTGAAGAAGTTTGGCTGAGGGTGAGGCATAATCTTCCAAAATGAACAAAAGATTCTAGACATGAGTCAGAGACTCAGCACGGTGAGGACTTGGGTAACCCTACTGGAAGGCGGGCAGGCAAACCATAGGCATCTGCATGCCCTTTGTGACCTGGGGATCCTTGTATTGTTTTCACTTCATTGTTTGCAGGTGTCTTCATAGAGCAGTGTGCAAAGGGATTTGTGCTTACTAACCACATATGCACTGAAGGCAATAAAATCTTCCACTGCTGCTGTGAAGTAAAGCTTCTCTAGTCTTCTGACACACCATGCCATGCTCTCACTGTAGCCAGATTTGAACAGTTTAGGGCACATGCAGAAACCAAAGCATAGCAGCCTCCTTGTTGCACCATGGTTTGTTGTTTCTCAAGACTTGTATGACCCTTTCACAGCATGAATCCATTCTATATTGGACAAAAATAATTATAAAACACACAAGACTTGAGTTTAGTGCATTTCTGACACTGTGACTGCTGACTGTATTTGAATTATGCATCCTAGTTAATATAGGCCTATCCTGACCTACATTAACAGTTCCTTTGTCTATATATTTAATATTTTATTTCATTTTAAAAGAAAGACATTTATAAAGTCTAATTCCCTTTTATGTAAGTCTTCCTTTTCTACTCTTGGTGAACCTCTTGGAATTTTCTCCTATTGATGAGTGGGTATTTTTCAGGAACAAGGATTTTTGAAATTTTGCTGTTTAGTAACGTTGCCTAAATCCTTCCCTACTGCCCACTGAAATCAATGGAAAGAGCCTCATTTCATCAGTCTCTTGGAAGGTTCTTTGTAGTTCTGGCCTGACAGGTGTGTTTTTTTCTTGTTACAAGAACTTGGAATATAGCAGGATCAGCGGTACCTATAGTGGGATAAATTTTATCAGTCACAGGCTGTAAATTGCTGCCCATTTAAGATTCATCAGGTAGACAGTACCCTTGGCTTCATCACAGTGGAATGCACCACAGGAATGCAGTGGATTAACAATGCATGATAAAAATACTAAAAAGACAGTATTCTTTCCTTCTATTTAAAGTATACCATGCAGCACTTCCTTTGGAGGAACTGAGAAGTAATTATCATCATACCACCATTTCCTCAGTGACTAGATTAACAACAGGTTATGGGGGTCCAGAGCTGGGGAGTTTAGCCTTGTTACCATTTATAGGTTCTCTCTGTGTCCTATAATA